ATGAACTTAGAGTGAACAAGAAATAACTCAGGTCCCTCTGAGATACTAAATTTGTTTGCTCCCACAGCATGGCCTAGACTATCTTGACTTACACAGAAATGCACTTTTTCTTTCTCATGGTCTACCTTTTGACAGCTTCAGACTAGTTCCAGTGACATGGTGACCTTCAGCAGCACAGGTGACCCATGCACAATGCAGGGGCTATGCTCCAGGCAGTTCTGAAAGGTGGTGAAGAATTGGGCCATGGGTGCTAAGTGCCTGCCTTACAATTCTGGCTTGGCCACTTCTTGACTCTACCATCTTGGGCAGCCCCACTCTGGTGCCATAGTTTCATTTGCAAAATGTAGATAATAACAGTGTCTAAGATACTGGGTTGCTACGAGGGAAAATGGTGTTAATGAGGGGAAAATAATACATATAAAACACATAGAAGAATGTTTGGCATAAAGTAAGTCCTTGACAAGGGTTAGATATCACGTACCTTGTCAATATCAAACCTAAACCACCCCAGGGCCCATGGTTGTTTTATTTAGCTGGTCCAAAATTCCCTTTGGTGGTTAGAAGAATTGACAACTACGTTATCAAACAGTGGAAAAGCGTATCTATAGTCTAGTAACAAAAGGATGGAAAGTCTTTTATTACAGAGAGCTCTAATGCACTGGTCCTCTAGTGGTTCCCCCAGAATGCATCAATTGCTATTTTTAGCTTAGGGGTCAGTATTAAATAGATGAAATTCACAAATGAAATACCAGTAATGAAAGTGACACATTCAGGGTCAAATGGCATTAGTACTATGAAATCAGAACCTCTTAGGCAAAGAAACCAAAATAATAGACAGCCTCTGAACTTACAGAAAAAAAACCTGAAAGGTGAAGCTGCTGATATAATCCACAAAAAATGAGGCTGGCATTATTCAGCAGCTCATTCATTTTAGATGGTTCCTAAATTGCCTGAAATCCCTTTTATATTCTGCAAAGATCAAACATATTAAGAATGTCAAAATAAGATTAGGTAACCCCTCTCAAGCGTCAAAATAACTACTCAGAATAAAAGAAAGATTTGCAAAGTTCAGGGCTATGAAGAACATAATTAAATAGTGATGTTATGGGGGAAAATTATGGGGAGTCAAACTGGCATGAAAAGCCAGCTCAGTCACTTACTAAGGGGTTTATTTTGGCAAAATACTGAAACTGAGGTCCTGGATCCCTTCACTTGTAGATCAGGGTAATGTCGTCTGTTTTATACATTCGTAGGAGAACTTAGAGAAACTCTAATTGTATGCAGAGTTTCAGAAAACAGGACTAGTGGCTTACCTCTCTTTGATCAATCTAGAAGTCAAAATGATAAGCAGTATTTCCTGTTTTCCCGTGGTCCTTACACAAGTCTATACCCCATGTTGATTTAACTACATTTTACAGAGAGGGTTATTTGCAGAGCTTCCTTGTGTTCCACTTTAGTTTTTCCCCAAAAGACCAGAATGATAGATCCAAGGGTTTCACAGGAAATGACATCCTACATAATTGCTGCTCCAGGATGACGTGGCTAACTGCAGTTTTATGTTCAACACCACTGTGCGCCCTAATGGGTATCACATCTGCCATTATTTCAGAATCAGGCAACTTGAACAATTCTAAAACTCCCAAATGTTTAGCCTAAACATTTAAATACAGATTGACTCAGAAAACGTCATGTGATTTGGTGATAGTGTCTAGTAATTAGATTCTGTGCATTTTATCTAATTATGTGATGCAGGTTTTTAATGCAACTTTATTGCTCATAAATCATTTCCTCACTTAGAAATCCTCAGTACGTACCAAAGTACATTACACTGCAATCTTCTGCCACAAATTTGAGTGTACATTAGAGCAAAATGTGCTACCAACAGTGAATCAGGAGAAAGAAACTGAATTGGGACAATTAGAAGACTCGACACTGCATTATTACATATATTCCATGGAAAAAGTTCAGTCAAGACAGTGATTCAAAGACTTGATTACATCATTCCCAGTGCAACACGTGAAGCTACTCAGGCTTTTCTTCATGGAGCATCCAAAAAGAACTATACAATTAGAATCTGTAGATAAAAGGTCTTGCAGAGTTTCAGAGACAGTGTGTAGCTGCCGCTCTTGGTAATGCTAAAAGCAACTACTGATCTGTCCAAAGAAAGTCATATAATACAGCGCCCTATTCCTTTATTCATTAAATAATTAGATGCAGGCATAATTCAAACACAAAAATTTTTAGGTTAATTAAACCACTTCAGTTAATACCACTAATTTTTTTCTAGAATAATGTTAAGCTAATGAGGGAAGGTATGAATATAATAACAAATTGGAAGAGTGGGAAATTTCTCTTTTTACATGCTCTGTATTTTTGAGCAGATATTTTAAATTTAGCTTAAGCATGACCTAAAAAATGTAGTTTTATCTTCTTCTATAACTGCCATAACTACTGGGGGATGGAAGAGAACTTTGGTCAATTTTTATTTTCTTTTCGACTTTCATCAGATGAGGATACAATAACCTCCCATTCCCCAAATGAGATCATTATTGTTTAAACTAGCAAGTGAAACCCTTTCCTTTTCCAATTTAATTAATAGATGCTACTTTAAAAAAAAAATCCATGTTCTACCTTTCACTCTGAATGAATGTTGCCATAAGCAGCATTACCCTTGGACATTTTGTAGGAACATCACCTTCCAGACAGGATGGAGGCTAACTCAGGGGTACATATTCTGTGTGGGAATACAAGTCTTCAAATGCACACTGGGAAAAAGAACTGCCCTGAAGGGTTTGCAGAAAGCATTTCTGCTTTGGGATCTTCGCGAAGAGCAACTATTTGCCACGTTTTATGATGACTTAATGGATGATGTGCAGAGCCTACACTAGAGAATTTAAATTTTGAAAGCCATGTTGGCTGATGACAGAAATGGCAAGGCCACTTACAACACTTTAATTTTAAGTTTATTATGATGTGTTAGTTGCTTTCCCTGTTTTACAAGTTTATGTATATTTAAAGACATAAGTTCTGGTGAATGTTTCAAAGTGATCCATTGGGGAAAAACAAAACAAAACAAAACAAACCCTATTGGCCCAATATATTCCAAACCTTAATGGAAGAAAAAAATGAAATGACGTAAGAAATAAATGTACTCAAAAGAAAGTCCCAACACTGACATAATCTAACATTTAATCCTGATTTAATAAACTGTAATAAGAAAAGTTCAATACCTCTTAACTCTTTTAAGCTGGGCTTTAACTTGGTCTTCTAGGCCAAAAGTTACTTGTAAATGTGTTGAATGAGAAATGGTATTGCCATTTTGGCAATGTCAACAATCACACTTAAAAAGATGGTTGTTCATGGGGTACCTTTGTCTCTACTTCGAGAAAGAGAGATGAGTTTGAGCCTCACAGGTTGTGGCTAAGCACCTGGCTTAATGTCTTTCTTCCATCAGCTTGAATTAGCTTATTCAATCCACTTCATTGCAGTTATCTGCTCTGTGAGTGATCTGTGGTTGCCAGGAAGCTCTTAACCTGAGATCCAGAATGGCTCCCAGACATTGACAGGGGTCAAAATTTCAAATGAAAAGCTAATTATTAGGTCACGGTAACTGGCTGCAAAAGGAGGATGAGCTGAAGGGAGAAAGCTGCGTGTCTTCAAAGACTTTATAATACCATATGGTCTAACACTGGCTGCACATTTGGAAGAAAGTAATTATTAAAATCTAGAAAATGATGAAAGCTTGGGTTTATTTATATCAAGTCTAAATGAAGGCATGAAAAAGTTAAGAATATATTAGTTTGGTATTTGGGAAGTCAATTCTGTGTTTACTTGGGTCAGATTTATTAAACATACTTATCACATGATTAATATATTTTAGATTATGGCTTTTCTTTATTATTGGTCTTACATTCTGTAACTTTGTGGGAAAAAAAGGGATTTACTGTGTTTGTGTTATCTTCATGGCCAACACACACAGGAACGAAAATCATGCTGAGTAAATTTGTAACATGACATCCTCTATTTTTTCACTCATTTAATTGTTCTTTCAAAAAGTCATGCCTATTTTCTTTCTGTCATTCTGCCTAAAGTATGTTATCATCTTTTAATAGGAAGTTGTTGAAAAACAGTATTCCAGATTACCATCATATGGCTTGAAAAAGGCAACAAAGAAATAGGACTACCTCCCTGCAGCAACAAAAATTAAAGTTTTGAGATCAAAAGCCAATTAGCCCAAAAGATTATAGTATTTTTTTATTAAGCTGCACAATAAACCAATTTTCTCCAAAGATAATTCCCTCTCCTCTTGCCACTTAATGGACAACTTTTGTTCAGGTATGCACCTGTCATCATGATTCTAGGACAGATGAACTAATTTCTAGTTCCAGAGCAAAATATCCAATCAGTCCAAATCACAGTAGTTGGGAACTGAACTTGATCCATGGGTGGGTAAGTGACATAAGCTGGCAAGTTAGCCTTAAGAGAAGATGTCAGGAGGAAAGGATTTCTTCTCTTCCTTCTATAAAATAACAAAGACCCCTAGCATAGTTCAACTCTGAGGGAAAAGAGCATTAAGGCTGATACTAAAAACATCCTATTCCAGAAACATCTTTATTTTCCGCTATGATTCTCTTATAAATAGGGATTCCCTTGGAGAGGCAGAGAACTTGCTGATGAAGGAGACAAATCATCCCACTGCTTCAATGTCCTGGTTTATGGTGTGTCCGGGAGGGATGCTGTGTGTGAGGAGGATCTAAAGGGCTTGGCCATCTATTGGGTCAATGAGACCTTCAATATGCGGTCTTGGGGGTACCACAAGACATAATATGAAAATGTGTAAGTACTACTTATGACCTGATAATGATATTTAATTTAGAAAATGCTGCCCTAGCCTCACTATAACCTTTTCCAAACTCTTTCAGAGTAGCCACCCATTTTGATGAATATCAACACGGGATTCAATGAACCACTGCTTTGTTTTCACTCTGAGGAACATGTACTTTTGCCATTAGGTACTGTTGTTTATTGACATATGATATTTCCACAGACAAAAATCTTTCATTACAGATATAGCGGAACGTATAATCATAATTGTGTAGTATAGAAAATAAAACTTTTTGGTATTGTTCTCGGCATTTCATAATGTAAAACTAGTGACAAACATCTTTAGAAAAAATAATAAAATAGTCCTTCGGTATTAAAATTTCTTCCTAAAAAGCATCTGGTCAAAGGTAGGAGGATGACATGTTATTAATGCATAGATGAGTTAGGCGTGAATAAATGAAACTAATCCCATCTCTGAGAGTAAATCATTTGAAATCTAGAGGTCACCATTTATCATAGGTCGGTTGAAAGAAACAATAAGCGCAGCTTTTTCATGGTTCTGTGGTTTCCGACGATGCAACTGTTTAAACACCGCATACCCGGGATATAAACAACATACTGCATACTTACCAGGTGGATTTTATGCCACTTTGCTGAATGCAGGATTAATATATTTGGGCTTTTTATTGCTTGAGTAGAAAGTGCTCATTACTTATTATTTTATGTTTATAGTATAGAAATTAAAAAAAAACAAAAACAAAAAGGTTTTGGAAATGGCATACATCACACTGTTGTAGTGGTTGATTTCCTCAAGATTGTCTTCTGTGGTTTTGGTGCAGTGGGAGGAGGCACAGTTGCAGGTCTGAGAGGGGGGAAACTGTGACTGTGGCTTATTCCCAGCCCCCCGTTTTCCAGTGGAAAAGGAGGGAGGTGGGGTGGAGGAGGGAGGGGGGGGCCTGGGTGAGGAAGCTTTTCCGGTGGGTGGACAGGTTCGCCGTGTAAATGGACCTCTCTGTTTTTTATGTTATACCGGGTGTCACAGTCGGGACAATAGCCATGGTACTGTACTTTTTCATTAAACCGAACTCGTTCCCGGGGCCCTGCCTGGAGGCACCTGTCTTTTTCAGGTCTGTGCTTCAGAGGCCGCCCGGGAGCCTTGTCCAAGGTACTAGCGGGTATGCAGCAGACGTCTCCATTTGGAATTTTGTTGGGTGCCCCGGGAAAGCCTCCGTTTCGCAGGAGGGTACCATTCGTCTTCACAGGATTGATCGTTGGCACCCCTCTCGGGGGCTCTTCACACTTCACAGGGGTCAACCGCGGGGGAGGTGGCGGAGGGTTTGGCTTTCTCAGGACGGTGAGGATAGCAGACGGGTGTGCTGGGGGCTTGATGAGGGGTGCGTGGGCCTGCACTTTGATCTTCTCGATGCTGGAGGCCGTTGTGCCGCTGGAGCTACTATTCAGGGTGTCCGTTTTGGAGCTGTCGGTCATCTCATCCTCCAGCTGCAGGTCGGAGGTCAGGGTATCAATCTGGTCAACCACCTGGTGGAAAGGACAAGGTAACTGTGTTGAGCAATGACCCAAAGCCAAACACACGAGAAACAACGTCTCCCGGTCGAGCTAGAAATCTGCTCGGGGAGCCTTAACTCCTACTACGTGGTCGATTCCATGGCTGGGTAATGTTTTCATTCAATGCATTGACAGAACAGCCTCCAGAGGCATGTCGACTGTTTGATAACCTAATGATTTCATGTACCTAGAACACAATATAGATTTATGGATACATTCTATTCCTGGCTCTGCTGAGCCCACCAAAGATAAGACCCTGATGCAGAAACATAACTGATTTTTTAAAACAAGAGGTGGTGGCGACTTTCCCTTGGCTCAGCCTGGAGAAAGCTACAGGAGAACACGAATAATGAGAAAAGCGAGATACTCTGCAAAACCCTAACTTTTCTTGAGATGATCAGAGAACCGAGAATCACAAGGACACCCACCGAACTGAGCTGAGAAAAGTCTCCTCTGAGGACAGAAAGGACACATAGACTGGTGCACCTTTGGCAAACCATAGGGAACAGACAGCCTCCACCAAAGTGAGGAAAGGAAACAGCTAGAACTTAATGAATAATTAAAGGTGGAATACGTGCTATCATGACAATTTAGAGTCCCCAGGAGCCCAGACACAACGCCGTCAATCCTCACTCATGTCTCTGTTCCACGGGCCTGTCGTGCGAGGGGCTGAGGGCAGGGCAGAGAATGGAATGGATGAGTCCCCCCGCCCCCGGGGCACACAGGCATAAAACCCCAGTGACTTCCCAGATCCTCATCCCTCATAAAACCCAACACTTAAGCATTAAGGGAATGGCAACTGTCCCTGCTTCTGAGAAAGGGGAGAAGCAGCGGCTGTCTGACTTTGGGGAAAGGGGCAGAAAATTCTCTTGGCCCCAAGAACTTGCACTGCAGATGTCTGCCATCACCTGGGGGAGGGATCCAAGTTCACAGCATCTCAAGACCTGCCTCAGACACAAAGCAGAGGCAGGGAATCCAACGTGTCTGGCAGAACCATCAGACGGTAATGTAGGTCCGACCCAAGTGAAGGAGAATGGGTGTGAAGGAGGAAGATGGCACCGAGGAGTCAGGGTGCTAGAGCAACTGATGGAAAGAATCTGGGACAAAGAGTCTCTGTCCTGTTCAGGCATTGTCTGGAGGCAGCTTGCAGGAAGGAAGCACAGCATTTGCTGGATATCAGAACACGGTCATTCACCCTCCCTCAAGGTCCAAGAGACCTTGGAGACCATTCTCATGGTTGCCATAAATGCACGATTACCCACATATGAAGATGGAAAGGTTATGGATCACTTTTAAAATAGTTTATTTACATACAGTCTTTTCATTTCACGTTTCCATAGGCAGATTTGTCTCTCCTTCTTCAGGCCTAAGTGTGTTGACTGTGAAGCTGGCTCTTTGACACATGGTGGCAGAATTGGGCTCAAAATGAAAACATAAGCATCCAGAATGTAGGGAGGATGTAGAGATTCTACTTCTTCCTCATGAGGGTCTTAAGTGATTGCTTCTTGCTACTGTCACCAGAGCTCAGACTTCTATTTTAGCTCCTAAATATATATCAAACCCACTTCTCTGCATTTTCATTTCTTTGGTCCTCCTCTGAGTCACCACTATTTACCATATGGGACCCCCCAAAGTCACCTTGCTCCCTCTTTCAATTCTGTCATGTCAGTGATTTTTTTTAAAACAGAAATGTGCTCTTGGCCTCGACTCCGTGCTCAAAACCTTTCAATGCCTTGTTCATTTCTCCTGTGATAAAGATAAATTCTTAATACTATCTCCAAGGTCTTGTATAGTTTCCCTCAGTGTTGTGCTTGTATATGTTTAAAACTGGTTTTTAGAGGTGTAAGGGAGTTTTGATTCGAAAAAGGTTGCCAATTTTTGTGGTGTAAATTCCCACTGTGATCAATTTCAAGTTAGTCAATGTGACATCACTGCATGTGAGGTTGGGAGGAAATGTTCACTGACACAGGAGTAGAAAATGCTTCTACAGGCCAATAGAATGGGCAAAAATAAACTCAGGGGCACAAATAATAGTAAAATGTAGTGAAATAATTAAGAATGACTAAGAACAATTAGAAAGCCTTTGTATTTAATGTAATTTATTTAATTATGAGTTTATATATAGATACATTTTTAAATTTTATTTTATTTAAATTCAATTAACATATAGTATCTTATTAGTTTCAGAAGTAGAGTTCAGTGATTCTATATTTTGGTTTTAATAATGGTTATTTAGCAGCTGGCACACACAAAATTTCTGAAAATAGAACAATTGGCCCTTTTTAGCCAGTACCAGTCAGCACATCACTGTCTCTCCTCAAATGACTCTCCATCCTCAACTCTAATAAATTTCCCTTTTCTTTTCTGTTCTCAAATCTCCTGGGTCTTCTTATAGACCCTCATAATTGTCAGTCTGCTTCATGCCATAGGACATTTGCAAATACGGATTTTTCTTTTTGAAATGCTCTGACTTCCCCTTTGTTGACTTAACATCTTAGCTCAGGAGTCCCTCGTGATGTCAGCCTTCCCTATCCTACTGCAATTTCCCATGTGGGTCATGTGAATTTGTTAAATATTCACAGGGAACTTTATTTCTTTCACTCAAAGCATTCACATACTTTTTGATTGTTTAGTTAGCAGTAGGAGTACCGGAATAGTCTTTCCTCCCTAGACTCTAATTTCAGTGAGATCAGACACCAGGTTTGTTCTTACTACTGTGACCTAGTCCTAAGGTAGTGAGTGACACTCAAAAGGGGCTCATTAAATACTTGTTAAGTAAATAAACTGAAGGTTATTTCTTCAGTTTTAAGAGTGAACAAAAAGCATGTTCTTTCTCCTTTGAGTTTTGGAGTTGTTACTTTTCAAAGTCACATCTGCTCAGTTATTCTAGAATAAAATAGGGGGAAAGGGATTTATCCAGAAATGATCCAGAGCTGGTGGCACATTCGGCAGCTCTAGCCCAGACATCTCAGAAATTAAAGTGGGAGGACATGGAAAGAATGTGAGAGATAGGGGGACAGTCCGGGCTCACAGTTACGGTGCACGATTTAACCTGGAGAGACTCTTTACCCTGAGCCTTCTATCGCATTAAGTATCTGCAGGGAAGGAGAGAAAGCTGGTCCGCTCTGAAGGGAGGGAGGCTGCTAGTCAGAGATGAATCAGTATTGTCTGAGCCTCTCATATAGTTCTGTAGCTGCTGGCTGGTTTTAGTCTCCATGTTGTTGTTTCCTGCCTGTTAATGCCAACAGAATGAAAAACTAAAACAGAAAAATACAGTTGACCCTTGCACAACACAAGACTTAGGGGTACTGCTTCTACTGTGCAGTCAGAGATATGCATTTGTTCAACCCCAAAAACTTAACCGACTGTTGACTTGGAAGCCTCATTGATAACAGAAAGAGTTGATTAACATCTACTGTGTATGCTATGAGCATTATCTCTTGTACTCTTACTACAAAGTAAATTAAAGAAAATGTTATCAAGGAAATCATAAGGAAGAGAAAGTACCTTACAGTCTTGCATTGATTGAAAAAAAATCTGCATATAAGTGGACCTCCAGGGTTCAAACGTGGGGACTTTAAAGGTCAACTGCACTGCCCTCATGGAGCAGGGAATCTAGTGGAAGGACCTGGCATGAATTAGATACTCAAACAAGTAAGTGTAAAAGTAGTACTTTTCCAGGAGCTCTGAATGACAGACTGAGATTCTGTAAGAGGGGAATAAAAATGCCCCATCAGAAAAGTCGGTGAAACCCCCCTGAAGGATGAGCAGCTGTCAAATGGTAGGAAAGGAAGGATTCCAGAAGGCCACTCAGGAAAGGGCCTGATAAAGGTCCTCTGACAGAAGAGAGGGCCTGAGTGTGAGCCATATAAAGAAGACTCTAGGCTGAAGGGCACCTGAGAGGTGAGGCTGGAGCATTTGCCAGCAGCCAGGCTCTGAGAGTCCCTGCTAAGTGCTGATCAGGTACCACATAAAAGAGTTCCAAAGGGAGAGAAGCACTGTTCAAAGAGATGTTGAATTGCTATTTTTCAGAATGGAAGCATCATCTAATGAGAGAAGTACACAGAGCTCCAAACAGGAAAATATAAACCAACCCACACCCAGACATACCGTCATGAGAACACAGAACATGGAAAAGTATAGATGCCCAAAAGGTACCAAAATGGCATATTAATGATTTTGTATTAAAGCTAATTGGGACCCAGCTGGTGCAAGGACACTCAGACCCTCCTGTGTCCACTGGAAAGCAAGAAATAAATCTTTGTATGAAAAGTACCCTTGCTGTACTAAGGAATAAAAAGGCATCCTTATCACCAGAGATAGGAATTTTAAAGCAAGAAAACTATACAAACAAACCTTGTTACTTTTTTAAAAAAATATTTTATTTATTTGAGAGAGAGAGAGAGACACAGGTAGTGAGAGAGAGCACGAGAGTGGAGGAGAGGGAGAAGCAGGCTCCCCACCGAGCAGGGAGACTGACGTGGGGCTCGATCCCAGGACCCTGGGATCATGACCTGAGCCGAAGGCAGACGCTTAACCGACTGAGCCACCCAGGTGCCCCCCTTGTTACTTTTTTACTTATCTACTACCTCAGCCCAAATTCTGCTTAGAATTCCTTACCAGTTAAATCTCGAAGCCTCTGTTTTCTTTATCCTGTCAATTCCTCACTAATTTATTTTCTCTGTGTCTAAAATGGATAAAAACTTCCTGCGTTGGTCATTTGTTTGGGTCTCAGTTTCATTACTGGACCTCCATGCACACATAATAAAACTTTGGGTTTTTTCTCCTGTTAATCTGTCCCATGTCAATTCAATTCCTCAACTAGCTAGAAGAACCCTGGGAGGAAAGGAGGAAATGTCTCCTTCTCCTACAAAAGTAATGACAGAAGTTTTACAACAATAAAGCAAGGGGCACCAAGTATGTCTTGAGCAGCAAAAATCAGGCTGACAGGTTTTCAAACAAGCAACAGAAGT